CTCAACGACGTGATAAGGCGCTATAACAAATGCAAGGATTATTATTATTATTACAAACGATTCCCAGTTTAGAAACGTGCACTGCCTCTGAAATGGACACCAACATAATCTGAAACTATTGCGTTTAACTTTTGTCAAGGGAAATGGAAAATCAATGTATTATTAAACAGTGCATATTGTACCTCAGATGTACATAGAATGATACGAGATCTGCTTTGTAATGCTCTGAAAAGTGCTTTGACCTTTTGTGTTGATTTACACTGAAATATCCCTAGCTAGCAGCTACTCATAACATTTTATGGTCAGAAATTTTGCATGTCTAAAGGACTTTTGCGTGCAAAGCGATAATGCATGTAATTTTAATGAGGCCTTAAAATATTTTTATTTTCACTTCACAGTTGTTTATCCGAAGACTACAGAAAACCAAGTCTAAATGCACAAGTATATGCTCAGTTTTTAATCGTCCCTGCAGCAAGTGATTGAGAATTCTGTGAAGGAAATAAATCAAAGGTAAGCAGAATTTTATGAATGTATAAAAACTGGAAATCTATGGTAGAGATTGGTGGTTATGGAGGGCTGAATTTCTGAGCCATAAGCTTGAACACAACGGAGACTGGCAGAATGGATAGTACCATCTCTCTGATTTTCTGTAAGTTCTTTTTAAAACTTGAAGTTAAATTGAATTTGCCAAATGTTGCACACTCTGAAATGTTGCATTGATAAGAGTAAATCTAGACCCTGGAGGAATTTCCACCCTCACTATCCCACACTTATGTTGCCCACTCATAAATGGTCACTATCACCATTTTGTTATCTGCAGGGTAGCTAACTCATTCCAGACACCTCCTCACTTTTTCCATTGGATATTCTCCAACTATTCCTTTGTTGTTTAACTTTTTTTGGTATTATTACAGTGACTGTACTACTTAGGTGGGAAAGAAGCATGCACTGTTGAGTATTCAATTTGGAAATTGCCTGAATGTCACAATTATTTTTAGTCTTAAGAATTTTGTCCAACTTTTAAGCTAATGTTACTGTTCAGGTTTAACGGTAGTTTTCAATTACTTTTATATGGACAAAAGCAGCAGCAGAAGGCAAACTGCTTTCTGGCTCATACTCTTATTCGTTTCAAAATGGGAACCTCAAAGTAAAGCCTTTCAATTGCCAAACCTAAACTGTTTCCATGCCACCTTGTGATTTATTAACATAACTGCGTAGGATTGCAAGTATTACATGATCATTAATTCTCCAGCAGCGAAGCCTTGAATATGATTGATGCTCACGTGTTGGTAGCTCTTCAAAGCCATTATATATAATATTGCAAAAGAGGAGCAGGTCATGCAAGAGTTCATGAAAACTACACCGCAGTGTGCTTGTCATTCTGTGCTCTTGTTTTCTTAATGAATCAGAATTAGGGTGGAGATGAGCAAATACACGTCAGAGTCAAAGTTCGTTACGAGTCATTTTAACAAAATGCATAGCTGTCTAAAACACTAAGCAAAACCAACTGCAGTCAAAGTCAAGGTCTATTGCACAGTGCATTTACCACTAACAAGGCTTAATATCGGATTAATTCTACCTTTTTTGTAACTATTGTGATCTTGTTCTACTTGCAGTGCTGAGGAAAGGTCAGAGAGATCTGCTGTTGGGCTTGTATCAGTGCCCATTTAAAGTAGGTCACCAGAAGGTGCTCAAGTGTAGCTCTGGATATCTAGAACTCAGAATTTCCTTCCCTCTATGTGAGAGAGTACCCGTCTGCTCTCTGTGCCTCTCCAAAATAGTATGAGAGGGTTCCTGAACTCACTGAACTTCATGAAATATGTCTTTGCATAAAACATGCAAGAAATCTGAGTTCTAGCTTCTCAACGGCTATTAGTCAAGCAACTGCTTTGTGGGGAAACATCTGGATAGTCTACACATATGGAAGGAAAGTGACGACTGCTGTGATTTTCTCTCTCCCTTCCCCCCATAGAGTTTGCCCACAAAAGATAGTCAATTCACTTTACAGTATATTTTGTGAAGCACTTTGAGACGTCTTGAAGACATGATAAGGCCCTATATCAAATGCAAGGATTATTTATTATTTATTATTATAAAATATGCCATTCACTATCCATGCTTGTCAAAAGATTGGCAAGGTGCTGCAGGACAATTATCACCTGTGAAACTGGATCCAACATTAGTTTTGGGTTCACCTATCTGCACTTGAGTGTTCCAAGATGCAATCCTGCTTCAAGGGCACTACATAAACGGAAGTTGGTGGTGGTGCTTTCGAGAGGAGAAACACTGGAGTTGAAACCCTTGGCACGGTTTTTGTCTACCCCGTCACCAGTATTGTCAGAATGAAATTGACTGTGCACCGCACAGATTTCCCCCATTCCACAACACCTGGGCGACTGTGGTGTCAGCATCTGTGATTGGATAGGGCTGTGATGCTTCCTCACCCTGTTTATATCCTCCGGGAAGCTACCCTGCATGAAGGGCGCTATATAAATGCAAGTTGTTGTTTTACTAACATTCATACCACTTGTATGAATGTTGTCCTGCTTCAAGGAGATGAAAGACACTGACATCTTCATCGATAGCTGGAGTCAAGCTGAACAAATGATCAAAACCAGAATAACCTTAATATTTATAGAATTGCAAATTACCTACTTTTTTAAAAAAATTACAGCCACAACCTCCTCTCTGGGTTTGAATGATTTCTCTAAATCACTTGAGATTTTACATAGATTTACATATATTGTACAGCACGGAAACAGGCCATCCTGCCCAACTAGTCTATGCCGGTGTTTATATTCCACATGAGTGTTTATCCACTCCTTACTCCCTCCATTATCCTTCTATTTTCTCTTGTGGATTTGAGGTTACCTGCCTCAAGGCCCTTAATTATGTTCGTTCCAAGTATCCATTATTCTCTGTTCATTTCAGTAACATTCACTATAAGAGGGTTATGTTATGAAGCATGGATGACATCCAAGCTTTAAATTCCTGTTGGTAAAAGTATACATAAGCACCACTGAAAGTGTATTGGAAATTGAATGCATCACTTAGGGCTCTAAAATCACTGGTACAACATTTATTTTTCTTGTTAAACTGCATTCCTCAGTCAGGGATTGTAACCCATGGCAAGATGATTCTTCCTTTTCATTCTCGTGTTTCGACGTATGGTATTCAGATGGTGACCGGATATGGCTATGATGCCTTCTCACCCTGTGTGACCAACGTTCTGATACTTCCTGGCCACACTCCCACATGAAAAATGTCCACTTAGGAGCAATGCTGGAGGGCAGCATTCTCCAGCATGACTCGATGGAGAAAGGAGAGTTGCCCGCATTAAATTGAATCTCCAGATAAACAAAGCCACACCTCTGTAGCTTGAAATGCACTCAAGTTTTTTTTTGATACTTACAATGATAAGCGAGTAAAGGTGTGTTACAGCGCTAAATCGTACATGCCAAAAGGCTGCAGGTTTAAATTCCACTCTGTGATGAGTCGATAATGAACCTAATGCTTGCATTTGATGTAATACCTTATCACGTCGTTATCTCCAGGTGCTTCCAAGAATATATTGTAAAATGGATTGACTGTGTATTTTGAGGGCAAAAAACGACAGCCAAATGTGCACAGCAGTGTCCCACAAACAATCATGTTTTGTAGGACCAAATTAATTTTTAGTGGGGGTGGGATTATTACCCCAGGAAAGCGATTCGCCAATCAACTAACAACCAGGTTCCTGCTTACTACTAGGTAAACAGAGGCATGTGGAGGAAGGAAATGAAGCCAGGAATGAAACCCGGGCCCTCTTGCTTGTGAGGTGAGCATGTTCATCACTATGCTACGGGTCTCCATGGGACGGGAGTTAGCTGACCTCAGACAGATATCGCTTAGAGCACCATATTGACCTCAATGATCTCAAGGGTAGAGTTTAGCTCGGAGCTAGAGTTTAGGTGAGGACAGCACCAAGCCTGGCTGTGACGCCCCCCTGTGGTTAGCCTGTCAACTTACTTTCAAAGCTCAAGTGTGAACAACTACCACTGGCAAAGTACTGGTGGGCAACCGGCAACCATGCTACTGCCCTCGGAAGAAGGAAATAAAAAAATAAAGCTAATTCAGGAGAGGAGAACAAAATGACGTAAAATATATACTATATATATGCTGGAAATATATACTATATATGTGATTGAAAGTTTTGTGGATCAGTCATTATCTGAAATTTTTGCTACCTCTCTGTCATCAATAACCTACTACAAAAATCTCTTCAACTGTGCTTCTCGTCATCATGTTTCAAACCCTCATTTCCCTGTTCCATGTGCATAACCACATATTTAGAATATCAGTTATTCACTGATATGGCTGTTTGTGAGACACTGCTGTGCACAAAGTGGCTGCATTCATTCGCCTACGAAACAAATACACAGGCACTATCCTGTGAAGTACTTTAAGATATTTTCCCATGGTGAAAGGCTCTATATCAAATGTAAGGATTGTTACTATTAATGTGTCTAGTACTTTGTGACGTTCTTTTACCTTACTTCATAAATGCAAGGTATTTACTATGTGAGTGTCTAAAGGACACAAGCTATTCAGTTTTGAAGGTATGAGACAGAATCTGTCAGTCATAGACGATGACGTGATGCTCTCAGTGCCACACCCATTTATGATCTGATGAGATTATATAGTACGTCACACTGTGTAATTGTAACAGCCTTACAGACTCAGTGCAAGTACATGGTGAGCCTCTGTGTCTTAAATCACATTGCGGTAATTTCCAACATAAATAGATTTGAATCAGAATTTTTATTTGTCCCATTGTTTACATTATGGTCTTTTAATATTCCTTCCAAGGAATGTTGTGTGATACCTACAGTGTGAAGTACAGGGCAGTGTACAGTTTCTACAGTCATGGTTAAATAGTGAAATTATTAGGCGGAACTAAAACCCAGCTATAAATAAAAGCAGTTTGTTTCAATGATAAAGTATCGGTGAATGAGTTTTACCTTGGAAATGGCAGATTTGGTGTTGAGGAAGAATAATTCCACAGTGGTAATGTCCTTTAAAAATGAAATGCTCTCAATATAAAACCTACAGCACACAAAGAAACAAAAGAGTGTACGTTAGAACATTAGAGTGTTAACTTAATTTCTGAAGAAATTGCAATGCCCAATAAATTGGTAAACATAACATGCTTTTTATTTTCTATTCTTCAGTTCTTTAAAAGCAGCTTCTGCTCTGAGGTGCAATAAGTTTTTTTTACCCAAAGTTGACATCAAGGATGAGAAGATGAGAAAGTATTGCAAAACAGCACTATAAAACCAATGCACATGTTCTTGTTGCATTCAAATCAATTTTTAATTTGTCTTTTTTTNCCAGCTGCAGGCGTCAGCCACCTTGGTCCTTGATGGTTTGAAAAAAAACATTTAGATATCGTAGCGAAGTTAATGTCCAAAATAACACATCCCAACTCACTCTCCCTTGACTTGAAATAGTTTCCTCTCACATCAAGTCTCCATTTAAATCATCTGTCTTTCCAGCAAACACCGAGCCCAGCTTGAGGAAGCCCAAACAGTTTAAACTAGAGCCACATCCTGCTTTGAAATTTATTCCTGCACATTGTGTTGAGTTCACTTTTATGCAAATACTCACTTGACCGAAAAGAATAAGGTCACCGGTCCTGCTTTCTTAGGCAAATCATGATCCAGCACTCTGCGATCAAGCTGCAGCCAGTTACTCTGACCTCTGCAGGAGGGGGAGAAATAAAAGGTTGTAAATATTCGAAGCCCCTGAATAATGTGGTGCTGAAATAAAACCGGCGAATGCTGCAAATCCTCAGCAGGGAAGTGGGACCTGAAGGGGAAATTTCCTTGACTGTTTCGGGTGATAAAGGGGTTTTCCAGAAGCCCCCACCATTTAAGACAACGAAAAGCAATTCATAGATACATAGAGATAGAAACAGGAGTAAGCTATTCAGCCCCTCGAACCTGTTCCTTCATTTTATAAGATCATGGTTGATCTATACCTCTATAGGTCCAGTTACCCTCCCTTGTCCAATATCTCTTAATAGCCTGACTTAACAAATATTTATCTACCTCCGTCTTGAAAATGTGAATGAATCCAGTATCCACAGTTTTTTGGGGGAGAGAGTTCCAGATTTCCACAAACCTTTCGTTTGGCTGATCCTCTCTTGCACTGGTTTCGGATCACAGAGCAATTCAATTAGAAAGTCTTACTCACAAGTGTAAGTCCTAATGCCATTTTCTGACGTTACTGCTGAAGTGTGGAAAAAGTTGGCCAGAAACTGTTTGGATGTGTTTTGTTTTTAATCAACGTGCTGATGTGCACAGTGAAGCTGTTTATTAGCTACCATGGCGACTGTGTTTGGGAATCCGTTTTGCCCCTGGTGGGCATATTGTTCTTGCGGGTGCGACGGCTGTTGAGACATTCACTGGCTCAATTCAGCACGTGGCCAGAGCAATGCCTGTGAGAGCTATTGGCACATTATTTTCACTGCTGTGAAATAACCATGCCAGCAACTAGGAGAATGAGAGTCTGGTCCTAATCTCCTAGTTTCTCTCGAGTTGGATAAAGAGCATTACAGCTAGAGAATTACATCTTTCCTGAGTGAGCTCCCCCAATGGCCTAGACTAGGGTGGAGGCCAAGTGTAGCACAAGGTTGGAGATTCAAATCCTGGATTGAAATCAAATAGCTGATCCCAAAGAGGCTGCAGTTCCGGTGCTACAATTGGCCTCAGTTGTTGAGGAGATAATCAGACAGGATTTCTGCTCTTAATCTGCAACTAGAGACCCCAGCTGGAAGGTGCTTATGTGGCCATCAGGAGAGTACAGCATCCAGCTTGACTGTGTAGAATTGCCTACAGTTCACAAGCCGGTCAAAATGGATCGTCAAAGTTTTTATATGAACAGTGTCCTCTTAGGCAATAGGGTGCTCAGGAACTGCACACCATGGGAGGAATAAGAAGATAACATCAACAACAACAAACTTACATTTGTATGGCACTTTTCATGTCGAGAGGACGTCCCAAGGTGCTGGACAATCAGTGTTTCGGACCCGAGCTGAGGGTCAGGATCGGGGAGGGTGAAGGGCAGGAGGGGAAGGAAAGTGATCAAAGGCATGGTCGAAGAGGAGGATCTTCAGATGGGTCTTGAAGGAGGTAAGGGAGGGAATGAGGCAGAGGGATTGTCGGATGGAGTTCCAGAGGGTGGGGACAGAGTGGCTGAAAGTCTGCCTGCCAATGGTGGGGTGGGCGGGGCACGTGAAGCAGACAGGAGCCCGCTGAGTGGAGGGAATGGGCAATTTGGTAGGGGGTTAGGAGGTTGCAGAGGTATGGAGGAGCAAGTCCATAGAAGGTTCTGAAGGTGAGGCCCAGGATCTTGAAATGTATCCTCTGTGTGATGGAAAGCCAGTGGAGTTTGGAGAGGATGGGGGTGATAGGGTCACGGAGCGTGGTGCGGGAGAGGACACGAGCTGCAGAGTTCTGGGTGATCTGCAGCCTATGGAGGGAGGAGTTGGGAAGGCCGACAAGCAGGGAGTTTGCATAGTCAAGCCTGGATGTTATGAAGGGGTGTACGAGGGTTTTGGTGGCCTGCGGTGTGAGACAGTGTCGGAGCCGGGCGATGTCGCGGAGGTGGGAGAAAGCAGAGCGAGTCATGGCATGGATGTGTGGTGGAAAGGATAGTTAAGGGTCAAAGAAGATGCCAAGGTTCGGCACTGGCTTAGCAAGATGGAGTGTGCAACCATGAATGGTGATGCAGTCAGCACCTGAGGTGTGGAGGTGCTGACGGAAGCCAATCAGGAGGGCCTCAGTCTGGTTGAAGAAAGTTAGCTCTCATCCAGGACTTGATGTCTGACACACATTCTGTCAGAACAGCAGTGGTCCTGGAGTCATGGAGACAGAGAGGTACAGTTGGGTGTCAACCGCATACATGTGGAAGTTGCCCCCGTGTCTGCGGATGATGTCACCAAGAGGGAGCATATAGATATTGAAGAGGAGGGGACCAAGGACAGAGTCCTGAGGACCAGCGCACAAGACGTTGCAGGGGCTAGAGGGGATAAGACACCTTCAGTTATGGGGAAAATGGGAAGAAAAACTGACCATGAGACCACAATCCTTTTCTGAGTGACCTAGATCTATTTCTTTGGCCCAGTGCCTATGCATATGTAAAGCTACATCCACACACAAACAAAAGAATGCTGTCCAACAGTCAGCTCATTATAGAGGATACACCAGGAAGACTGCCAGACATTTAAATTAGCACAAAGATTTTCTCGATAGACGACAGTTTATTCAATTGTATTATGTTGCTGAAAGAATACTTCCTTCAAATTAAATTAAAGCATTGCATTGTTCAAAGATTTAAATGTAGAAGTTTCTTTTTTTTAAAAAAAAGTAACGTTCGGTGGGAGGTTTAAAATGAGGGTTGTGTTTGATTTTAAATAGTTGAATTACTTTTGATACATTGAATAAATTATAAGCACCTTTGAACATCTGTTCATTGAAGAGGAATTGGCTGTGTGTAACTATCTTTCGTGTGGAAACCACAATACTGCACGTAGAAAAACAAGTCACCTTTTCAAGCCAAATTCTATTTTGTTACAATAATCTCTTGCAACTTGCAGGTTGATGTATTACTTTTCTAAGCATTCCCCCNTCTCCGGTCCCTAATTACATTCATAATTACAATTTATACACCAGCCTGATAGAAAATATGATAATGACAGTCAATACAGATCACTCATTCATTGCATTCATTTTCTCTCAATTTAATTCTAAAGGAATCACTCTTCCCCCTAAGGGTTCCTGATTTCTTTTGAATTAAAATGGTAGAATGTATAGTTGGGAAGAGAATGCTCGTCAGCTGCACATCTGCCCATAAACAATGATGCCAAAAAGCTGTGGTGGGAATCTATCCTTTCACCAACTGGAAACGGAAAATTTGCTGATTTGTCCACAAGGAAATCACAGAATAACCTTTTACCTTCCAGCGTGTAAACCGGGATTTCTCCCAGGATTCCTCGCCAAAATCAACACAACCCAAACAAAGGGTGTTCCCAAGAAAGTGGGCAAGTCCTTTAAATAAACAGTGCCAGCGTACAGAGCAGATTGTAATGGAAGTAAAGACCTTTCCCATAATGGAGCAGGCTTCCTTTATAACATCACAATCACTGTGAAAATTTAGTACACCGGTCTCCAGCAGCTATAAATGTGGGTTAGCAGGTATTCATTATCGTTGCACTGAGATGCAATTTTGCCTTCAACTGGCGTAAATAATTGCAATCATTCCACCCAAATCTCTGGCAATTGTGGTGTTTGTATTCATTTCAACCAGTTTAAATTGCTGTGAATTCAGGTGGAGGAAAGATCACATTGAGGTTTTGTTGATTTTCTGTAATGTTTTTGAACGGCTGATTGTTAATGCAACCAACGTATAAATGTAATCTATACTGCAATGCAAGTTTTGACCAAATAATTCCATAGTGTTAAAAATAAGGATTCAATTAATAGTCAAGTTGATTATGTATGAATGACCCAGAGATAGAATGAAACCAGTAGAGGATAGATACACACTTGAATATAACGGTTCAACTGAGTGAATGCTGCTTTCTTACCAGTGGAGGGTTTAGCACTAATGCTATTGTTAGTACCTTGGAAGTTATACCAAACTAAATATGCCCAGTGTGAGATTCAGTCCACCCTTTGTGTTGTCAGAGGAAAAGGAAACTGAAGCAAAGCAATGATTCACTGAATCAGGTTGCTTTAAAAATTGCTTTAACTTATTGGTCTTTCACCAAGTTTATTGTTTGAAAATCAATATGGGAAAACAAGAAATATGAAATGTAAGTCAATAGAGTAAGATATGAAAATAGACTGTTGATGCCTGAAAGTGGCAAAAAACAGAGACTGCAAAAAAATCTACAGAAAATTGACTGGAAACTGTGTCCAAATGTCCAACATTTGTTTTTTTAAAAATGAAAGCTTAATTTATGCATATAGATTTATGCAAGGAATTCAGTGTTCAAGGAGATCGTGTACACTGTGCCTTCACTCTCATTCGCAGCTGTTTCTTGGCTTTTTAGTATCTGGATGGGATTTGGGGAGACAGGAATTTAAAGAACCATGCTAATTTTCACACTCTCCTGTCAACGTTCAGACCTGTTTTGCCAGCGTGCATGAGAACACAGAGCTGTGAAATTGTAGACACTTAATTTCAGTAAGGCCATAGGGCAAGGTGGATCAGATAGATACTACTGTTATCCCTCCTTTATCCTGTGATGGTAGTTGCTAAAAACGCTATTTACATCCTTTAATTAGGGATGATGCGTGCAGAGCAATAGATGAATTATTCAATGCAGACATGGTCAGACTTTGCATAGTTTTTAATGGCATCACGAGAACAAGTCCAAAGGATGAGAGATTCAAAACCAATGAGAATTGGCTTAGCTAAGAGCAAGTTGTGCCTAAGGTGAATGCCGCCCTTCATTAATACAGGGTAAAAGCCACTTAGGTGTGGCTGAATGCATCCTGGTATTCAGTAAATTCCATTTTTAAACTCTCCTTAGTTTTAGCTCCTCTGCTCAACATCTGCAAATCTCTAGTTAGAAGTGGGTGTGTGCAATTCAACCTGCTCCCAGAACTCCCACAGCTATAATACTAGGTACCTGCCCACCACAGATCTAAGCCTGAGTCAGACTGCCGGGCTAATGCTTTTGCCTGGGTGTGAATGCCAAAGCTCAAAGCTGGCTGAAAATCGATGGGTGTGCCATCAACTGGAGAGGCGGAAGAGCGGTAGTTAAGTTGACCGTGTTTCACCACAGTAATCACTCTTACAGCACGTGGCATTTTGCACGTCTTCAAGAGAATATTTCAATTTGAGGCATCAGGAGATGTCAAGCTGGTGATTCCCTCCCCACCTCCCAAGTCTCTACAATTCTTTTCAATTAATGATTCCTGCTTCACAGTCCTGCTGTGCTACACATCGTTCAAAGTTAAATTTACTACTGAGGTGACCTCATATGGTACAAACCCATTAAAAATAAGAAACAAACCCTCCCAACATAAAAGAGGGTGTTGACAGCAAACTACAGTAGAGTAGAGGAAATGCCTTAACAATGCTCATTTCCAGCATTTGAAGAACATCATGCAAAGGAGTGTAGGAGTAACTCCTTTGTGTGAGCCTTTATAATTGTACAAGTAAAATAATCAAGCTTAATGCAGACAAATATAGAATTTTACTGTACTGTATTACAGCACTGTGGCCAAGAAGGCTGACTCTGTTTGACACTGCATTGTATTGGAGCCTCTAGTGGACTATCAACGTTGCTTCTGCTTGGTAACTGACACAACTGAGAGCATTTCTATTGCCAACTCGGCCCACCTGTACAGGCCATGCACAGACCAGCTGTGACAACAACACAGTTAGAATTGAGCTCTGCACGCGGTGCATTCATTGTGTGTGTTTTTGCCTCGCTGTCCTGTTAGTCCTATCCCAGAGGATACGAGTGTATCAGCCAGAAAATGTTTGATCAACGCTGGTGATTTTGGTGTGTAAGTATTTTTGTGGCAGCTGTACACCTAATCTGACTGATAAAACAAGGCTAACTATTTAAATGAAAATCTGATACATTTAATGCCCTAGCTCATTCCTGCACTCATTCCTGCAAAGTTTGGTAAATAGTCTGCGCTGAGTTTAACTCAGTTGCTCACTGTTTTGCCCTTCTTCCCCCCCCATACACAAACATATTAATGTATTAACTTGAAATTATTTGTATTGTCTCTGCTCACAAATCACAATGGTTTTAATTCACATTATTTTAAATGAACTTATTATTTTAAATTAATTTTAACTAAATGCACGTCGCCAATCTTTGTGTATGTGAATGATGCATGTTTTATATATATGGAACTGAGTTCTAACTGTGTTGTCACACCTGCACAGGTACAGGTGCCAGGGACAGCATTGCTGGAAGTATGGTTACACCTCAGGCACTCCAGTTACGCATTGTGTTCAACGAGATGCACAGTTTGACGTTAGACCTCCTAGCAAAAGCGAGGATTATTTTTAGCTGAATTCTTTCGTAAATGTGACCATACTTACTGAGAAGTGTTGATAAGATTAGAAGGTAGTCTGTTTCTGCGAATGGTTGGCTGTGCCATTATATTTCTGACATTTGATAAGACGTATAGCGTTACTGATGAAACAATCTGCCAGTGAGGTGACAAAGAGGTCATCTCATGTTCAATCTTTGCCACAGATAACTGTGCAAAGTAATTCAGTACTTGGATGGGTTTTATTTGCTGGCTAAGCTCAGAATATTTCATTTTAATGATTATAATATTCCTGGTAGAACAGAAATTGATTTTTGCTTGGCAGGATAAAGTTTCAAGCTGAAAGATTTCCAGCAGTTGAATTTACTCAATAAAATCCTAATAACCCTCATTATAAATAGCTAGAGCTTTATTGGGTGCCCGGACAGTTATGCAAAGCACTTTGAGACGTCCTCCCAGCGTGAAAAGCGCTACATAAATGTAAGTTGTATTGTATTTCAAGTATAGCGGTACATAATAATAACAGTAATCCTTGCATTTGATATAGTACCTTAATTAAGTCTTTGAGATGTCTCAAAGTGCTTCACAGAATATACTATAAAGTGAATTAACTGTATATTTTGTGGGCGAAACGTGACAGCCAATTGCGTACAGCAGTGTCTCACAGACAGTCATGGATTGAAGTAACCAATTTATTATTTTTTAGAAGGGATTATTACCCCCGGAAAAGCGATCCACCAATCGACTAACAACTAGGTTCCTACTTTCTGTTAGGTTAACAGGCATGTGGAGTAAGGAAACTTGCCCAACGTTTTGCCTTGCCAGGTATCAAGCCCAAGTCTCTCGCTTGTGAGGCGAGTGCTCTAACCACTGAGCTACAGGATATAATAATAAAAATGATAATTGGATTTGATATAACACATCATCACATCATTGAGACACCTCAAAGCGTTTCACAGAATATATTGTAAATATATTCAGCCTCTCTGCCCCCAGCCTTTGAAACTCCATCCCACAGTCTCTTTGCCTTGCTCCCTCCCTTGCCTCAAGGCACATCTCAAGGCCACCCTCCTAACCTTACCTTCCCTGCCCTCCACCTCTCCTGATCCCAAACCCCTCCCGACATGAAAGGCGCTTTACAAATGTAATTTTGTTGTTGTTGTTGTTGTTGTTGTTGCTTGGGTCCAAATCCCTGATTATCCAACGCCTTGGGATGTCCTCCCGATGCAAAAAGCATCATACAAATGTAATTTGTTGTTATTTTGTAAAATGGATAATTGTATATTTTGTGGGCGAAACATGCTGACATGAGAAAGTCTCACTTACGTGTCATTAATGAAGGTTATTCCAAAGTATTCCTTCTCCTTGAGATTAAAGTGTGAGGCCACCAGATCCAACAGCTCCCGGGACAAAAGCTTGGGCTACAAAAAAAGCCATTAAATTGTCAGTCGATTTGCACAAATCAATAACATTTTCTTACAAATGAATATTTACACTGCCGGGTGAACCTTTGTGTATATGAGGGGAAAATGAAGCAATTTGACATTGTGGGGACTAAGCTGCATTCCAGCTGCATATTATAAGAGGCTGTCCATAACAGTCAACATTATCTCTACAAAGAGTACACTATCAACCTTCCTCCAGAAAGGGTTCTCTTTAAAAACAATGATACTTCCTCTGGTACGCCTTTTTGTTCATTCCACTGTATATTGTTTGCGATCATTGTTTTTCGTCTCCTATTTCAGTGGCAACTCTAATTAATGCTGCATCAGAGCAGCACACAAGGGAACCGTGTAATCTCTCAGCTCTTCACAGATCTGTCTGATGCCAGTACAGGCATCTGGTAACGTGGTGAAGTGTTGTTTGTTTTCAAAGATGGGCCACCCCCCAAATCTGTGAGCATGTGGAGGAGTTGAGGTGGGGGATGAGGGAAAGGATCGCTTTGACTCAAGCAGCACGATGAGGTAGCGAGTTAAATCAAAACCCATTTACTGCGGGATGTTGCTCCATGTCTGCCGTTCTTTGCTCGTTGAATCAACGATTCTTATAAATGTCACTGTGCAGCAGCACCAGCAGCTAAGCAGAGATTGGGGCGAGAGGAAACCAGAGGGAGAATCCTCCTGAGTCACTTCCGTGGTCCAGCAAATATTTCAGAAAAGCATAAGCAGAGGCCTAGAAGCAGGTTTCTGATGCACCTGCTCTCCATGCTAGGCTTGGTAGTTGGGTTTAGAAAGAGTTGTATGAGGTTCAAGATACATTCCCTGCATTTCTTGATTGAGCAATCAAGCTCACTGAGACGCTACCCTGCGTGAGGGGCACTTTATAAATGCAAGTTGTTGTTGCAATTAGTTTGCAAATGACACTTATTCTATCTATGGTTGTCATCGAATCTCATTTAATCATAATTCCAGCACATTTATAGCGCCTATATATTTTCAATATATACTACACACACATCGAATATACTCTCACTTATTAAATTTAGAACCGATGGAAGAATAGTTTCAGACTCGTATTCAGATGCTTTTCTGAATTGACATAATAATAATCCTTGCATTTGATATAGAGCTTTATCACATCTTTGAGATGTCTCAAAGTACTTCACAGGATATACTGTAAAGTGCACTGAGTACTGTAAAGTGTGTTTCATGGGCAAAACGCAGCAGCCAATTGTGCACAGCAATGTCCCACAAACACTTGTGGATTGAATGACCAATTTTTTTTTTAGGAATTATTACCCCTGGAAAAGCGATCTTACCTGAACCAATAGCTCTAGTTTCCTGCCATCCAGGAGATTTACTTGGCAGTGTCTGCCCTCCGTCATCTGTAAGGTAAAAATATACATCAGACAAACCAGCAAAGTAGAACCGAACGCGACAATAAATGTTACAAATGATTGCATCAGGCTTGTAAACAGACCTACACAATAGATCGGTTTCCTGTGTGAATAAATTATTAATTAAAATGTTATTCTAGTATAAATGTTTCATGGTTTCAAGTCTAAATTATTTAGACAAGGTATGTGGAAGAGTTCTCGTCTTTCTGCACCTGGGCAATCGAGCCATTGTTCCTTGTTGATTTCTCTGTGCTTTGAACTATGATCTTTGATTCATGTGCATTATTTATGGATAGATGGATGGAACCAAGGTCTACTTATTTGTGGTACTGGAGACAACAAAGCAACACAAATTCAAAACCTAAAGTCTTTTAGGATGAAATTTCCCTATTATTGAAGCACATCCGACATTTAAATTACGACAAGCTATTTTTCATTCGAGCTTGTGTTTACATCCCACACTACGTCTGTGTGTGTTACCATATGCTATTTCCTTCTATTTATTTTGAACTGATGACTATTATTGATGTTGTCACACAACCTTCTGATATATCCCTTCCCAGAATTTCCAAATTAAAATGTGACTACTGTATTACTGGATCAATGAAATACGTGTCTTAAACAACAACAACTTGGATTTATATAGTGCCCTCCACGCCGGACGGCATCTCAGAGCGCTTCACAGGAACGGATCCCAGGGCCGAGCCAGGGGGAGGGGGAGGAAGGTGACCAAAGGTGCGGTCGAAAAGAAAGGTCTTCAGTAGGGACCTGAAAGTAGGAAGAGATGGAGCGAGACGAAGGGAGTGAGGAAGGGAGTTCCAGAGCCTTGGGGCATAATGGCTGAAGGCACGGCCGCCGAGGGCGGTACGGAGGACTCGGGGGACGAGGAGGAGGCCAGACCCAGAGGAACGAAGGGAACAGGTACTCTTTTGAGGAGAGAGATCAGAGAGGTAGGGAGGGTGCAGAGGAGTGGAGGGATTTGAATACAAGGGTGAGGATCTTGAAGTCGATCCTCTCTGGGACAGGCAGTCAGTGCAGTCTGGCAAGGACTGGGGTGATCGGGGAGCGGAGTTTTGTGCGGGTGAGAATGCGGGCGGCAGAGGTTTGAATGATCTGGATTTTATGGATGGTAGTGGATGGAGACCGGCGAGGAGGGCGTTAGAGTAGTCCAGCCGAGAGGTGACAAAGGCATGGAGTAGGGTTTCAGCCGCTTTTGAAGTGAGGTATTGGCGGAGACGGGCGATCCGTCGGAGGTGGAAGAAGGCGGTGCTGGTGAGGGACCGATGTGGAGGAGGAAGGACAATTGGGTGTCGAATCTAACGCCTAGGTTGGTACGGGTTCGGAGAGTTTTAGCGGGAGGTCGGGTAGGTGGAGGAGGTGAGAACTGTGAGATTTTATACGTTGACGAGAGCCAAAGACTATGACTTCCATCTTGTCAACGTTCAGCTTAAATAGAAATACCATGTGAAGTATAAAACTTTGGAGTTATCATTATTAATCAATGGATTAATAATCATAATCCTTGCATTTGATATTGTACCTTAATCATGTAGTTAAAATGTGTCAATGCGCTCACAGAATGTGCAGTGACTGTATTGGTGAATCCTGCAGCCAATTTGCACAGGAACCTTTGCTGATTGTTTTTCTGCTCCTCCTTTCTGAGCACTGGGGCACTAAGCTCAATTGTAACCCTTCACCAAAAGCTGACCTGTCTAAGATCCACACACCTGCGATCTTCCTGGTCTGTGTAGTCAGTATTACAACCGACAGTATGTGTTTCTCACCGAGCCATTGGGAGAGACGGTCAACACATAGCATTATCGTAAGATTAAAATGAACCCAAGCACATTTGCTCGCTTAACATAGGAACACATGTAGGCCATTCAGCCCCTAAAGCCTTTTCTGCCATTCTATTGAGGGGGAACTGTACCTCAACTTCAATTACCAGCCTTTGGTCCATATCCCTTGAAAATTTTAACGGATCCAGCATCCACAGCCTTTTGGCGGAGAGAATTCCTAATTTCCACTACCATTTGAGTGAAAGCATGCTTCCTGATTTCATTTGCCTCTTACTGAGAGAGGAAACTGCTCTTAAATTAAACCAAAGGATAACATCAATATAAAAAGGCTCTTTTCTAATATATAGACTGGAATTTAAAATAATTAGAAGCAGCTGGCTATTTCCTACCTCATTCTGCGATTCGACTGGAAAAAATTATGAGTGAATGTTAATTATTTGCAAAGAGTCTTCTCGTAGCATGAGATTAAAGTCCTACAGCGCGCTCCCTCCTACTTCTGGCAAATTGTCAGAAGCTGTCAGTCGGGCAGGAATTGTTGATTTATTCAGATGTTAGACTTTTAATATGCAAATTTCAGAGTTATCCCAATTGAAACATACTATCCATGTCAAACACCCCACTTTAGTATTCAAAACGATTTAAAGCAGTATTTGGAAGAAAAAACACAACTCTTTGCACATATAATAAGAAGCTTCTCATGGAAATATTATACTGACTGTATCCAATTAGTTAAATAGGATACATGAGTGTGTATGAAATGTTGAGACTCAACTCTGATGGACTTTTAAAGTGATAATGACATCTAGATAAATAGCATCAGTTTACAAACGTTGACCTAAAGCTTTTAAATTCTGAACAAAGCAAGAAATCGTGATGTTCTGACCTTTAAAGATTGACCAACCAACTATTATTTTGTTTTTGGAGTGGGTGGAAAGAGTCATCCATGGCAGGCTCCACACGCTTTCAATTAAAGGACAGATTTTGTTGATCTACATCAAGAGTCGGCTCTTATGAACCAATACTTGAAAATTAATTCCAGTTGACAAAACGTGGCAGGAAGCTGTTGACCAAAAGGAGAGGAAATAGCCACTGTAACCAGACGCATAAAAAACCCTCTGGCAACAACACTAACATCTATTGGATGCTGTGAAGAGAAGCAAAGAAGGTCTATTTACCTAACAGATCATTCATCCTTTTAATAATTTCCAAGGAAAAATATATTTAAAGGAAAACTTCCAACAAGTTATTACGATTTGCACCTATTGCCTCCTGAACATCTCCAGAGACAGGTGAAGCGCTCTACCCTGCATGAAGGCATTATATAAATGCAAGTTATTGTTGTTGAATAACTGCACAGAGGGTTTTCAATGAGATAAAAACTGAAAGTTCTGCCTGACGTGTGAGAAGGAATGAAGTGACACCATAAAGATTTCAAGGTCTATATTTTTAAGGAGTAGCCAGTTGCATTCCACTTACAAATAATCTCACTGTCTTTAAGATTACTAGAGAAATTCAGAGGAAGAAAGGCCTTCATCCTGATCTCATCCTTCCAGATACTAAACATATAATCTTCTCAAAGAGAATCACGTTGTTTCTTGATTGAGTCTCATGTTCTGGCTTCTATCTGGTAACTTATTCCAGCTTTTTAATACTTCCCAGTGTTTTGTCTTAAAAAATCCTCGCCATAATCCTGAATCTGCACTTTTTCATCCTGCTATCATATATGTGGAGTCCTGTAGCTCAGTGGTGAGAGCACTCGCCTTGCAAGCGAGGCACCTGGGTTCAATTCCAGGCAGGGCGAAACCTTGGGCAAGTTTCCTTACTCCACACGCTTTAAGATGTCTAGAAGACGTTTAAAGCGCTATATCAAATGCAAGGATTATTATTATTATTATGACGCATCTGAAGAGCACTGTTTGTGGGTGTAATTTCACTATTCCCCTGTAAAGGTCCCCTCTGAGGCATGCCTTTTCTGGCTGAAGAGTGCTAACTTATCCAGTCATATTTTTTGTTCCTGCTGTCCCTGCATATCTGAAAGTCTTAACATGAACGGAACAAGAATCCAAATGAATATCTCAAATAATGCATGCAGTATTGAGATTATAAACAGAGGTTTGCAAAATAAACTGATTTCACTGAAGAAATAAGGTTGAGAAGGAGGTGTCTAAAATGCTGAAAATCAAAAGCCACAATGAATTAATGGTCACTCGAACAAGATACAGGAAGGATATTGGTGCACATGCAACTATGTCAAGGTGGAAGGAAAAAAAAGTCAAGACAACTTCAGGACAAGATGCAAAGGAGTAATAAGTCCAACACAAATTTAAACAGAATATAATTAATTTTCCAACATGACTTTTGAATGCTACATATTGTTCCCCAGACCTCATTGATATTGGCACGCAAGGCTTCTATTCATATTTTGGGATCCACTTCATATGTTAGTTGGAAATGACAGAAAGCAGCTGATTCAAACCCAGGTTGTAAGGCAGCACTTTTGTGTTTTCTATCTCCCTTTTGTTCAGCTTTTGCCAGTGCATTTAGGCAATTGATCTGATCTCTGTGAGTACTGAACGGTACTTTGACAGAAGTCAGCAGCAGCTTAACTATCCAGATTCACCCATTTTATCACACTCCGAACAAAATAACCATTGTGAAGAAAGGAATAATCCCGAATTACTGAATGTAAGTACACGATATTAATACATTACGTCCTGTAAATACCCAGAAGAGATATGAATCAATGTTGCTACAAGCTGGAAAAGGGATAATGAATTTACAGAAAGTTTGGCAGATTCACAGTAAGAACAATCTGTTCTGCAAACGTGGAGAGGTTTTTTTCCACTTCAATGAAGAAAAATGAAATCCTTTCAATGCTCCACTAGACTTAGTGTGTTAAACATTACTAAAAGAATTGTTTGCCTACAGCAATAGTGCTTCATAACTTGCTTGAAACATTCTGTAAAGTTGAAGTTTAACTTCTTATACTGAACGCACAATATAATGTGCACAACGTTTTATCCCAGATATTTTGCTGAAACATTAAGATTATTTTGTTTAACTACTTTAATTTGGAGTTTATGAAAGGTTAAATTTGCCATTAGTTTTCCCTTTGGAAGATATTTTACACAGATGTTTGATCATTAATCAATGCTAAAAGTTACATTACTGTCAACAAAACACGCAAAG